TGCAGATTTTTGGACTACAAAGAGATCAAAGAGAGAGTCGTTCATATGGTTGAGAAGATGCCCACGGACCGTTTTGTTGTCTTTCTCGAATTTGTCAGCTTCGATGGCAGTAGACGTCCCGGGAACAGCAGCAGCAACTGAAACGGTGGCAGCAGCAACGGCAGGCGGATCAGTGACGGTTGCGGTGACGGTAGCGGCAGTTATAATGTAGTCAATCTTCAACTGCTCAAAGAAGATCAATAACTTCTGTGACCATCGGCAATAGTTGGATCCGTCCAGTGGTTCCAATTTTGACAAGTCCGGTAGGACCTTCCCAGATCGGATAGCAGCCATTAGTAGGAGTTTTGCTTTCAACTGTTGGACAATAAAGGACAAAATAGGAACCAGAAGGTAAAAAACGTTGTGCCGTGGGCGGTTAAATGGAAGAGGGGTGAGCTTTTTATAGTGACATGGTAGCCCAAAATAGAATTGAATTTTTAAAAAATAAAAAATTATTTTGGCCACCCATGTGTCTTTTGAATTGCATTCAACAGCACACGTGTGAGCCTTGGTCTTGGCTTGCCTCACACCAAGTTTATAAGTCTAATACTGAGTCAATGCTTATAAACCAACTTCCCAAAGGTTATTCTTCCGATGTGGGACAACAAAAAGTTTTAATATTTGTCATTCCCAACATTTTATTCATGGGAATGTTCTAAATTTATATATCGTTCCAAAAACGACCTTACTAATATTCATATCATTTATACATTAATCTAATATAATTTGGATTTTTTAAAAATTAATTTAATATTTTAGGTTTTTTATATTAATTACGTATGTATATTAATTTTTGTACGTTGTTAAGTAGAATTCATATAAATATAAGACTTTTTTAAAAGTAATTAATATTGAATATAAATTTCATGTTCAACTTTAATATTTTTTTAAAAAATACAATTATATAATTAATGTTTTATATATGGGGTAAAATTCATTTATTATATTATCAAATTATATTCTTCTAAAAAGAAAAATGTCAAATGTAAGCTGATCGTGTTGCTTTAAAATTATGTATTTAAGATAATAGATATTATTCATAATAATTAATTCCAAATATTAAAAGTAAATAGAGAAATTATATAATTTAATTAAAGTTTAATTTATATGCACATGTAATAAATAAATATACTTAATTACCTATTTAGTCAATGAGTATATTAATTTATTTAAACTATAAAATTACAAATTAAACCAAAGGAATTTGATGAAAGAAAATATATGAAAAAATAACAAAGGGGTAAAAATGTCAACATAGRATGTCCTCGACATGGGAATCATGGAAACCCACATTTCCATCCAAATCAAACTCGGCCTTCCAAATAGACATCCTAAGATACATGGGCATCTCGATATCTGGAATAGAAAAAAGCTAAAGGAAGTGGTCTTAGGCTTCCCTCCCAACCTTTCCTACTTCAATGGAAGAGAAAAAAACTACCACTTCATTTTAGAAATCTTCAATGGAATTGACAAYTATTTTTCACTAATAATCTTTTCAAGTGAATAAGTGAGAGTCCCRTCGTGTAGGGAGAACTGCATGATTCTCTTTTAACGTTATGATGTGAAGATTAAAATGTGATGGATGAGGAATGAGTGTAGTTCTAGTTCATGAGGAGGAAAAAAAAGCCTTCAGATGGTTGAAAAAGTTTTGATGATCAATGAGAGATTGTAATTAGTTTGGTGTGTAGCTGATTTTAATTGTTTTTACCATTCTACGAGTTTTCATTTTATCTTCTAATCTTTATACTAATTTCATGGAATTAAAAAGATTGTGAGTAGAATTAACATTTAATTCTATACTAAAAACTAACAGTTTAATATTTTATAGTTTAATGATAATTGACTAGGTTGTAAGTTCGACTTCCGACCCTACGTACTGTACTAAAAAAAAATTTAAGATTTTATTATACAGAAAGTTCTAAAAAAATGTTGAATATATTATATATCTACTATATTCCAAATAGCATAAATATTAAAGTTAACAAATACATTAGAAACAACTTTAAAAATTCAGATACTAAAGTTCTAATTTAACCCATTGAAAATTTGTCCAATATTTAAGGGACCATTTAGTTTTGTATATTGATATAAGATGTTGAATCTTAGCTCGGAGTACCGTGGGCTACGGCCTAAAAAAAGGTAAAATACGCTTTTGATCCACTAGTTTAGGAACCATAATTTTTTGTCAGTTTCAACTCCGTCTTTGAAATTTCAAGAGGCGACATGTTTGGTCCTTAAAGTTTTAATCTAGTTATTAATTAGTTCCTAAAGTGTAAATTCGATTTCTRATTKGTCACTGACCATTAATTGACCCAAGGACATTTTCCATTTTTTTTTCTAAATAGTAAAGTCTAGTTGACATATATTAGTTGACATGATTCATTAGAAATCAAACTTAAATTACAAGGATCATTTTAAAACTAAATTCAAACCTTAATGACCGAATAAGGCACTTTTTAAATTTAAAAGCAGAATAGAAACTAAATTTAAACCTCAAGACTAAAAGTAATGATTTTTCAAATTTAGAGACCAAATAAAAATCAAATCCAAAATCCAAATAACTAGACCAAACATATATTTTACCTTAATAAAGATTCATAATGGTTTGGTTTCCATCATTGGTTTATGATTCTAAAATCAAACCAATATATTCTTTATTCATTTGAAAAAAAAAATCCATTGGTTATTTTTTTGTTTGTTTGTAATTAGAAGTCAGAACTTTGCTCATCTGTATCCATGGACACATACGTAGGAGACACACAGAAGGTTCGAACTTGAAAATTAGTAAATCATACTAGGGCATCCTTCACATTTTTTTTTCACTCTAGTGTAGAGGTGTAAAAAATAACCGACAATCTAAGTAATCCGTACAATCTAGGTTGTATCAGATAAACGTTTGGCTTGGATTGGGTTGCTATTTTTCCAAACCAAACGGTTCGGTTCGGTTCGGTTTGTGGGTTCGAGTATAAAAAATCAGGCCAGCCCCTCCCGAAATATTAGAAAAATAAGAAATATATAGGTATTTTTTTAAAAATTTTATTTTAGCCTTTTATATGGGATTTAATTTGAAAAAAATAAAAATATATATAGGTTTCACTTCTCGCCCACTCGATATACGTCTTCGTCTCCCTCGGCAGCACTTCCACCGTCGGTGCTGCTGTTCGCCGTCCGTCGCTACTGTCTTCCACCGCCCGTCGCTGCGCTGCTGTCTTCCGCTGTGCGTCGCCTTCTGTATTCCGTCACTGCCGGCCGCCGTAGAGAGGTAGTTCCTGGGAACTAATTTCTGTAAAAGTATTTGCCCGATTATGAATGTGGGAGCCTTCTGCCGAGTACTCTTTTTTGTTTTTGCATCAAACTTCTCGTTGTTTGGGTTCTTATTCATGTGGGTTGCATTAAATTTTCAGAATTTCTGTATTTTTGCCACAGGTTATTTATTATGATTGTGCAAAAGAGTTAGACTTTTGATTTATTCAGTCCATGATATCATTGCAGGAAAGGAAAGTAACTCTATTTATTGTGGCCATGGTACTCATGGGTCAGAATTGAATGTTCACGAAGTGATTTCATCTGTCTATCTGTCTTTTTAGTTTTGTTACATATTTTATGGAACTACTTGCAAAATGTTATTAGATCGATCATTGTTTAGTTTTGTTCTATATGTTCTGAAACTACTCCTTTGTTAGTGTTGTTAAATCAATAGCTATACATTTTTTAGTTTTGTCAAGTCAGTAGCTATATATGTTCTGCAACTTGGCGTATGGTTTTTTTTTTAACCCAACCTTAGAATTTTTGGTTGGGTAGGGTTGGCCATTCGGGTCTCTCAGTTCCCATATATGGCCATCCGGAAAATCCAGGTTGGTCCCAAAAACTCTCCTAACCCAACCCAATCCACCCGTGAACACCTCTACTCTAGTAGCATCCACCGCTACTTGTTCTCTCTTCAGTTCCCCTGCCTTCGTATTTCTCTCTTTTGTTGCTGCTCGTACTACCCCCCCATACCTGACGTCTGTTTGCTGTTCTTACTTGTCTCCACCAATCAATCTGAGGTTTTTTTATATGTTTTTGAAAAGTAATTTTATTTGTATAGATGTAAGATGATACTGATAGTTCGTGGTGGTACATTTATTCTGAAAATATTATTGCGAAAACTTAGTTTAGCATTTTTGTTTCAAAATCTGTACAAAATTTTGATAGTTGACAAGTAGGGCAGCGATCTATGGCACAAAAACTGAAAGAGGGGGGTGAGGTAGGAGAAGAAGAAAGTAAGAATGGAGGAAGAAGGAAAAGAAAGAACAAACAACCGACTAAGAAATCATTACCCAATCGGTTCAGTTTTTAACCAATGGTCAGTAGGTTCTCTTAATTCATACAACTAAACCAATCGTGTTTTTCCACTCTCACAAAATCTGAACTTAACATTTTTTCTAGTAACATTTGAGCAAATGGATGGCACCTCCAAACCCATTCATTTTGATGGTTGATAATTTTGATGAAGTTTAAAAACCGTAACAATTGTTAGTGATATTGTAATGTTAGAGTACCCATAATGAGAAAAATGCTCTCCACATCCCTAGGAGTGGGAATTCAAATGTTCCACCTTTTGGTTGAGGATATATACTATAACCGAGCTTGACTCAAGTTTGAACATACCTCCGTTTTATTTAACAGTGGACCACCATTGTTTATATGGTATATGATTTACTTTTCAATTTCACATAGGCTTTTGTTTTTTAATTTTTTGTTTCCTTAGAAAAACTTTCTTTTTAGTTGAATTTTTTTTGGCTTCGATTTATGTCTCATCAAAATTCCCAGGGAAATGATTGCTTGATCGATATTATTCTTGGATTTCATACTTACATTGTCATTTTTAAAACAAAAAGTTAGTCTTTCTCAAATTATATTCCATTGGTTACCTTTAATCGACTTATCCTTGAAGTTGAACCACAAAACATTTGAGATATAAATGAACAAAATTTGGACTTTGTCCACCTTTTGCTGAAATTGAGATTTGACACAAGAGAAAAAAGTCTCTCTTTATGGCTTTCTCCCATAGTTGCTTGCTCTCATATTTTGTTCTCTTTCACCAATTTTTGGTTTATATCAGTGGTTGAAAGAGATCATACAGATGGGAGAGGAAAAAAAGAACAAGAGGGATATTATCCCATCAATGATAAAGAACAAGGAAAAGAGGAAAGAAGTTCACGCCAACCTCAAGCAGCAGAAGAAGCTTGAGAAACGCAAGAGGGCCAAGGCTCGTGATGCTTCTGAAAAGCAAGCTCTTGAACTTGGAGAAGAAGTAACACATTCACATCATCTACTCATTGAATCTATTTATCCACTATCTTAGTGATTCTGACTTTCTTTTCTATTTCTTTTTCTATTCTTTTTGTAGCCTCCTCCCAGGATGATTCCTCGCACCATTGAGAACACCAGGGAGGTTGATGAGACTGTTTGCAAACCTGATGATGAAGAGGTTTCTTGTTTGTTTTTATTAAATCATAATATATGGCATTTTTTGTAGTGTTTGTTTATATATTTTATATATGTTGTGTGCGTTTATTTTGAATTCTTTAGTAGAGCACACCTTTGTAATATGTCGAGTTTTTGTTTTCTGCAGCTATTTGCAGGAAATGATGCCGATGAATTTAGTTCGATCATAAAGCGCCACACTTTGCCAAAAGTTCTGATAACTACTTGTCGTTTTAACTCTACTGTAAGACTCTTCATTATTACTAGTTAAACAGTAATTTTGTTTTTAGAGACCTGAAGTTGATGGAAAGCAACCTAAAGCATATACATTTTATCTTCTTTGTACGTGACTTGATATTTGCAGATTGGACCTTCGTTTATATCAGAGTTGCTTTCAGTGATTCCAAATGCACATTACTACAAGAGAGGAACTAACGATTTGAAGAAGGTTATTCTTATATATGTCTATCTTTATACACAGAAGGACGAGGGAAATTAAGAAAAAACAAGAATAATACAGAAGAAAGATTTTGCAGCTTGTTATTCTGGTGATAACTTTTTTTTTTTGCTCTTTTCTTCTTTTTCTTGTAGATTATAGAATATGCAAATGCCAAGGACTTCACTTCTTTGATGGTTGTTCATACGAGTAGGAGGAAATTAGGTAGATTGATAATCTTTCTTAAACCTGCTTGCATGTTCTTTCTTCTCTTGAAAACATGTTCTCTCTTTTTCTTTTGTATTTTGTTTTTAGCTGTTTAGTAAGTTGGATTATTTCCTCAGTCTATATTATTGTTTTGAAATTCTTTCAGATGGCCTTCTAATTATTGGCTTGCCTGAGGGACCTACTGCCCATTTTAAGATATCAAATGTTGTCTTACGAAAGGATATTAAGGTAAGCTGGTTCAGGTCAATAATTCTCCACTTAGTTTCATTTATAGGAGTTTCATGGTGTGACCTAGCCAATGTAAATAGCAAAGGGCTCAAAGAAAATGGGTTCAAACCATGGTGGCCACCTACCTAGGATTTAATATCACACGAGTTACCTTGGCAACCAAATGTAGTAGGGTCAGACGGTTGTCTCGTGAGATTAGTCGAGATGCGCGCAAGCTGGCCTGACACTCACAGAGATTAAAAAAAAATTGTTGCGTTGTTTGTTACTAGTTCTATATTTATCTGGGGGAATAAAATTTCCAGGAAACTTTTACCATTTTATCTCTGCTTGCTTGTAGAATCATGGAAATCCAACCAGCCATGAGCCAGAGCTTGTATTGACTAACTTCACAACGCGCCTTGGTCTCCGTGTTGGAAGGTTGCTTTCTGTATCTTAATTACTTGATTTTTTGAAATACTGCCGGCCTCTTTAGGCTGCATTTCAGATTTGGGGTTCATGTTATTTTTCCTGTTATTACTCTTTTGTGATTATGATATCACTATTCTCAAGTTTTTCTTAATTTGTTGACTTCTATTGTTGTGTTGTTTCTTTAGGTTAATTCAATCACTATTCCCTCAAGATCCTAATTTTCGTGGTCGGCGGGTTGTAACTTTTCACAACCAACGGGACTTTATATTCTTCCGGCATCACCGGTGTGATACCATATCTTTCATACCTTTACATGTTTCACATATTTTCGACTTTATATTCTTCCGGCATCACCGGTGTGATACCATATCTTTCATACCTTTACATGTTTCACATATTTTCTTCTCTGTATGTATGAGGGTTTGGATTATGATGAACATGTGACTTTTTTTTTGTCTTCTCAGTTACATTTTTGATAGCAAGGAAAATAAAAAAGAGGCTGACTCGAAAAGTAACTCCAAGGATGCCAAGGGTGAGAAAGTTCCTAAGCAGAAAGTAATTGCACGACTTCAGGTTAGTATTTATTTTTTAGGAAAATTAGAGGGTATTTTTGCTCCTATGCAAATTCAAGGGTTAGTAAGCAAGCACATCTTCACGTTAGAGTGATGTAAATTGCCATGTTAATATTTTTGCCCCCTTGGGCAACCTAGTAGGCCAGGGTTTGCTCCCTCTTGGTCATACCGACTTAGAGGTCTCAAGTTCATATCTTCCAGTGAGCTTAATACCAAAATCCTTTGATGCCTCTCGTGTTCGGGCCTTGGAGCAGGAAGCGGGTGCCTTTGGGTATAAGAGAGCAAAACTCTGTATCAATTTTGATTTTTGTATTTAGGTTTGAATGAGAAAGTGATATTATGAGAAACATGAGAAATAATTTAGAACAAAAGACAAATCGGCCTTCTTGGCCATCACTTCACCTTCTCCTAAATTGAATTCAGCTACGGCTTCTCTGCTTTGGAATTTTAGAGTTCCGAAGAAGGTTAAGGTGTTTTTATGGACTTTATTCTACCAAGGCACAAACACGGCGGACAAAATTGAGAAGAAAATCCCCCACTGGACTTTTCCCCTATTGCTTGCGGGTTATGTAGACAGAACACAGAAGATGTAGATCAACCCTTCTTGCATTGCCCCTTTGCTGACAAAGCTTGGCACTATGTGGCCTCCCTTCTGGACTCGTCCTTTTGTCTTCCTCGATCTATTGATGTTTTTATAACAGAAGGCTTTGGGGGTAAGGCTCTAAGAGGTAAAGCTTACGTCTTATGGAATTGTGCTGTGAGGTCGGTGCTCTGGCTTCTTTGGAAAGAAAGAAACAGCAGAATTTTTTAGGACAAAGTTAGTCCTTTAGAATCTTTTTTCGTGAATATTAAGCTTCTTGGTGAGCCTCCATCCACAAAGAAAGTTTTTTGTAACCATAGTCTTTTTCAGATTACGCAAGATTGGAAAGCGTTGATTGTATAGTTCTTTGGGGAGGGTTTTCTCTACCCTCCGCCCTTAAGTTGTTTTTGCTCTTTTTTGGGCTTTGGTTTATTAATTACATCTGAGTTTTTTATAAAAAAAAAAAAAAAAATTAGAACAAAAGAAAACTAAACAAAACAAAACGTAAGGAGAGGGAGGATTAGTAGCATGGTAAGAAACAACTGATTCCGAGACTTCATTTTTAGGAATGCGGTCCTCGTTTCACAATGAAATTGATTAGTTTGCAGCATGGGACCTTCGATTCTAAAGGCGGGGAATATGAGTGGGTTCATAAGGTAAGTCCTACTCTCTCTTGATTTCAATACGAAATGCATGAATATTAGATCATGATCCATCCTATTTGTCTAACTTTTTCTATCTACTTTAAATTCCAGCCTGAAATGGACACAAGCCGCAGAAGATTTTTCTTGTGAATGCTAAATGGAGTTATTCATTTCTATTTCCGGGGAGTAAAAGTTGTTCTGACTGAAGCTATCTAATATTATGGTAAGCAGATAAAAACCGGCTTTTATTTAACTTTGGGCGATTGGTTCATCTTAGTTCGGAGGTTGTTTTCTTTTTAGTTTATTAACTTCTTGTCTACTAACCAAGCTTACAAAATAATTTTCTATCAAAACAAAAATTCCCACGATGGCCACTTATAGTTATAATGTTTTCCGACAATGAAATGTAGTAGTGTTAGGTGATTGTCCTATAGTTGTACGTTTTCTTGAGTAATTTTCTTTTGATTTTGCAGTGTAGACCATTGATGGGATCCGAATCACTTTTTCAGCCTGATTGTAGGTAAGAAGTTCATTTCTTTTTCGCTAAAAATTTTGAAGCATAGTTTTTATGGTTGAGTTTGTTTTAGAGGTATAGATGTATCCAAATTTACAACCATTTGGAAAGAATTCCTTTGAGGAAAAAAATTCATACATTCGGTTCATCTTCTTATCTTCGGGTTCAAAATGGTTTAGCTTCACAAATGAGAGGAGAAATGCTTATTGGCATATGGAAAATCTGAAATTCTGAAATGAATAGCCAAGATTTTAAATGTTGATGTTGATAGAAATTAAAGGTGTTCACGGTCTGGTCTGGTTTTAGGGTCGAACCAAAACTGAAACCAAAAATTTAAAAGAAGAAAAATTGGAACCGAACCGAACTGCAGGTACTATATAAACTGATCCAATTATTTGGTTTGGGTCGGTTTATGCGGTTTCTGAGTTTGTGAGGTTTTTATTTTTTTTATTTTTTTTATTTCTTTTTATTCTCCACTCAGTCGAAGTTGAGAGAGGAGGGCGGCTAGCAACGACATTCCAGCAGAGGTGGAGGAGATGGCTGACAGCAAAGAAGACTAGGCGGTTTATGGATTGTGGTTTAAGTTTGTTTTGTTTTAATAATCAAGAGAGAAATTTATCAATTTTTTTGTTTTAATCTCATTTGCAAGTTTAATTTATTAAGTTAATTTGATTAAATGATTTATTTTTATAGGGGGTTGACATCACTATTTCATATTAAAATATTATATTATTTTTATTTATTTATACAATATCATACAAAAATTACGAGGGCATAATAGTAAAATGCTGTACTTTCTTTTTATTTTTTTTAAGACATCTAAATAATAAATTTTAACTTCAATGATTTCAAATTAATTTGGTTTAAAAGCAATTAAGAATTTGAAATTATTTCGTTTAAAATCATAGAATTTGAAATCATTCTTATCCAATTCCAAATGTCAAACCCAACATAATTCTCCAAATTTTTACAAAAAAAAAATATATTTTTAAAAAAATTTTGCAAATGGAGATCCATGCAACCACGTAATTCTTTTTTATTTATTTATTTCTCTTTTGGTCCCTTTCGTTTTGTGGAGATAGAGCTCTTCGGTTCTTTGTCATCAAACTATTTCACATACGTGGACAATGATACTCTTGTTCTCTGAGTATTTATATGATGGTATGGTATTGTCTGTTTTAGGCATAATTGATTTTACTTTTAATTTCACCCAAAAGACCTCAGTACAATCGATATAATTATTCTTGTGTGCACTCTTTACCAACCCAACACTCTCGTATCTTTATTATTATTATTTATTTAATCTCGTCTAAAAGACATGTATGAAATTTTTTCCTCAATCAGTAATTTTTCTTTGAAGGTTAAGAAAACTATGCTCTGTTTGGTATATGGAATTTGTAAGAAATGATTTTAAATTCCTAATTGTGTTAGGAACAAAAATGATGGTAAATCATTAAAATTATTTGGATGTTCACGAGAAATGAAAATAATGTATAACATTTTACTATTATGTCATTAATATTTGTAGAATATTATATTACTAATAATATAACTTTTTTTAATATAAACTAGTAATTTCAATCGCGAAAAACATAAATAATTTAATCAAATTAACCTAACAAAAATTAAAACTTGTCAATGTCACATTTATTTTAAAAACTAAAAAAAAGAACTTGCAAATTTTTATTCAAATACTATAAAAATTCTTAAAATCAAATTATTTCAATTCATTCGCAACAGTTTCTTTTTTATTTTTATCATAGTTATTTTATGATATAAAGTACAAAAAAAAAAAATATAAAGTACAAAAAAATAAAAGTAGAAGGAAAAAAGAAGAAAAATATACCTAAAAAACATAAACATATAAAGTTCTAAATAATATTGAAATATAAGGAATCTTAAATACATCTTTGCTACAGTCCAAAATTTGAAACTAATTTGGTTGATGAGGTAAAGAGGTTAGAGTGCTAAGTTTTTTCACGTAGGGCAAAATCAGAATTTGTATATTTAAATTTAAAATCCTGACAAAGGCGAACCTATTTCGAAAAATGTTTAAACAATTCAAAATCATTTAGGATTTCAAATTTTTTTTTTCTTTATTTATCCAAATGATTTCAAACAGCGGTTAGGAAAAATTTATTTGACAATCCCAAATAGGGTGTGCGAATATCTTCTCATCTTTTCTCAAATTTTGATAACTTTGAATTCTGAATAGTGTGAAAATTTTTCAAAGATCTCATCTTTCTCGACTTCAAATCCTTTATCCCTTTAGATAATCCAAAAATATTCTAGAGGAAAGATCTGACTTTTTCAAATATTTTTAGAAAAATGTACAGAGGAGAAAATAGAGAATAACAAAATACGATTTCATTCCATCTATTTATTTATGAAAATTTACATCATAAGAAGTGATTGACCGCCAAAATTATGTGCGAAGAGAGGACTTGAATTTAAGAGACAACAAATAGAAAAGAAAAAGAAAAAGAAAATACACTTTTGTTCCCTTACCCTTAGACTTTGGACAGGCTAGCCTTTTTTATGTACCGCTTCTTTCCGAAAGGACAATATCTTTCGTTGCATTTGACACGAGATGATAAGGAGAGAGCTTCATCTATCTACAGCGGATTGACGTTTAAAGTCCCTAGAGTCAAATTAATGTCACTAACGGAATGCTAACCGTGAAATTGATGAGTTGGATATTTATTAATTTAATATTAATTGATTAATTTTGATTTCCTATAAGCATTTTCTTCTTCCATTGCTCCGATTTTTAATATAGAAACCAGATAAAAAAATTGAATTAATTTTTTGCCGAAGGATTTCAAAGAGAGTAAAAAGGTTTTTGTAGGGAGAGGGAAAGAGAAAGGATGGAAAAGAGAGAGGAGAGGGAAAGGTAAAAAATTCCCACCTAAATTTAAGATAATATTAAATTAATAAATATCTAATTTAATGCCAGATACTCAGTGAAGTTTGATTTATGAACTTTTTAGGAAGACCAAATTGTCAGTATTTTAAATTTAGGAACCAAATAGAATCATATTTTTATTGTCTGAAATGAGAAGCAAAAATATTCTGATAAATACGTTCTTCAGTAATATCATCATAACTTTCGAAGTCATGCGCGGTAGCAATACCAAACCAAATACGATGAGTAATGGGGTTCTCAGCTAAGCCTTGGAAATCTTAGTGTCATGATCCCTTTCAAATTCTCCTAGCCATGTTATCCAACTGTAATAATTCTTGTTAAGAAGAACGCTCATGTTGTGGCAATTCCACCCAGAAGGTAATGGGTTGCTCCTACAGAGCACGTCCTTGGATAATGCTCAAGGTTCTAGGCTGAGTAGCAGAAGCAACTTTTAATTTGTTATGAGCCCAAACAATGGATTCAATAAATTATTGCAAAAAACCATGTCCGCTGAATAGAAACATTAAACTGGACCAAAATAAAAATGTATTGTAAAAAAAAAAAAGAATAGTTACAAATATGTAAAAAAACCCGCTTAGAGGGAGAGTTGGATGGGCACACACCGTCAGCTATATGGAAATGGAGCAAATGGAACCTCATTTAGTAAAATTAGCAAAATGGAAACTACATTTAGTTTTTTAAAATATAGCATTAAAAAAAACCGAGGTTCAATTTCAAAATAACTACTTTATCCAAAAGATATACATTTGTAATATATCTGACTACAAATATATGTATGTGATATACTACTGATATAAGTGTATAATATATTTGTAATATGTATGTGATATACATTCGATATACTCCTTATATGAGTATCTGTGCAATATTTATGATATACATCTAATATACTATTCATATGAATGTCTGATATACTACCGATATAAGTGAAATTTTTTGCTACATTTGAAAATTTAAAAAACATGTGACATATTTTGAAATACATAAATTGTTACCCACTGCAATTTCTGAAAATAATAATGATAATAATAAAATAACTGATTTCCTTAATAAAATAAAGACCTGTCAGTTATATTTTTAAAGATATCGTAATTTTTCTTATTTAATGTTTAAATATAGTATTATTTTGACTTTTTAAAAATATACATACTCGATTGAATTATGCTATTTTCTTTTTTTTTTTTTGTTAAATTTTAAACTTTGTGTTGTGTTATTTTCAAAAAAAGTCATGAATTCTATTCTTAAAATATAACATAAATTTGAATTTTTTCCGATATATTTCACTTTACCATTTAAGTTAGAGTTCTATTCTTGTTGGATTATTTTTGTTAAATTTTAAGATTTCTACTGTACTTAAATCGTGTGCTGCTTTACCGAGTTTAGAAGGTGAAGGAGCATTCACATTATTTTTTTGCTTCCTCTTTTATTTTCATTTCCAAATCCTACGTGTCCTTTGGGACCCTCTGCTTAGAAGTGGATTTAAATTACCAATAAAGATTGCAAAAATTATTTGAACAACAAACAACAAAGTAATATAATTTATGTCTTTTTCATGGATTTTAGACCACATCAAGTTTCAACCTTCCATCGAAGTTATTAACATCTCAATCAAATGAGTCAGTGAATACTTAGGAGTCAACGGACTAAATCAAATATTAGAGTAAAAAAGGTAAAAGCAGAAAAAGTAAGAGACAAAAAATGAGAATGGTCTCCTTTTGAATCAATGAAACAACCTCCATAAGCTAATCTTCTAACTAAATGCTTAGGAGTTTCAATTTTCAAAGCAAAACAAGTCAATGCATCAATAATTCTATTATCCTCTCTTGTTGTAAAGTTGAAGAACAATCGACTATAAGGGTTGAGAAAAGATTTCATGTCTTGGATAAAGTTACGGGGCTAAAATCCAAATTATGATCTTTTAAATGTCTTTATTTTAGTCAGCCTACTCATATCTTTATGATTCACAACATATAGTTCTACTACAGAAAATAGGTCTATTATAGTAGTTTTTTTTGCAACGGTTCATGAATCACAACACGGTTTATAAAATTGCAGCAATTTGCCTTGCTCCAGCCTTTTTGTAGTCACAATGTGCTGCACTGGCCAACCCGCTAGTGCTTGTGCACCTTGCACTAATCACATACTAGCGTCGTGCGATGTCATTTGCACATTCACACACCATGTTGTCGCCTCACCTTGCGCCAGCCATGAGTGTACCACCTAGCCTACTCGACCTTGGCCCTTTAGCCAAGTCGTGTGCCTTGAGATTGGGGTAATGACAAATCTCCACTACTCAAAGTTTTCAATATCTTCATTGAGTTCAAGGACTTTGTCCTGCACCTGCAATTAATGACCTTCCTCGTCACTTAGTGTTCGCACTTTCTGTCCTGCATGGTATGTCAATGTCTGTATTACATGTCACTTCGACACGTGATGTCGCCTTCCATGCGCATCTCCTATGGTGTCTGTTTGTTTCGGCAACATGTGCATTTATCCATGCACAACCATGCGTTGTTTATCTCCAACACATGATCTGGAGAAACATACATCGTCATGCCTCTAAGTCCAGCAAAATATTGTATTGTAGCACTAGTTCGTCTTCTTTATTGAAGAAAGCATTTCCTAACTCGATCTCCTTCGATAGTAAGAAATCTTTCATCTCCCACCGATACTCGCCCTCCTACGAGTATACTCAATCGCACATTGAGTCTTCCAATGATACAGACTTCATTGCATTTGTGGTCATTTACATCTCTCCTGCTACCTCGGGTTAAGCTAGCGTTAGGTACCGTGCTCTTTTTGACCTATCATGGGCACAATCCAATACCTGTGAGTATCTTCCTCAATCCCCCAAGACACAACCACCCTAACCAAAACACTTTCGTTCTTTGAAAACTCGCCAGCATATCCTTCTCCAAGATTGCTGAATATGAACTTCTTTCCTATCTTGAGTCTTGCAAATATAAGGTGTTTATAAGGTACTACCTTACCATGACTCTCATCAAGAGCTCACTAACATCAAATGGCCACTACCATTTGACAACATTGGTCTACCCACCCATCCTCATGTGTGTTGCTGCTAGTTGGTTTCCCTCGAATCAAATGTTGCAACTTTCAATTCAAGATGCTTTACTTTCAAACATTGGTTGTGCTTTGATGAAAATTTCCTCTATCAAAGTCTTTCGTGTAAACAACATCGAGCCTCGAACTCACCATGCTTATCAATGTCATCACATCATTGAACACTAGATTGAGTCGATCATCCTCTTGATTCATGGACTCCTTCCATGAAGGCTTTCTCGTCTCTCAATTCACGATCATGTTAAACACACTCCACCACCATGTAAAACATTCATGTAGGTCACCAGCTACTCCATGATCTATGGAGTCTCCAAAATTTCTCGAGACACTAGTCACCAACAAAGTTGTGAGTGATGTTACTAACACTTCGAACCACCTTGGTCATCCACCAAGACAATTGTGTGTAGTATTGGCGCCACTTGATCTTAATGTAGTCCTGATACCCGTGGTTATCATCCACTAGCTTCCGCAATCCACAGTGTGATTTTTCATAGTTGAACTAGCTTGGCTTTCCACAAGGATGCAACCTTGCTTCCGTTTGAACGTAACCAGCTCCAATTGAATGAAACCTGACTTTCCAATAGACTCAACTTGGGTCCCTTTGAATGTAACTTGGATCCCTTCATACACAACTTGTCTTTGATATCGAATGTCACAAGGCTAAAATCTCAAAACTACGAATTTTTTCGTGATGTGCGGCCTAAAATCCTCACCTTAGTCGGTCGACTAGCACCTCTACGGTTCACAACATATAGTTAGTGTCTCTCCTAACTATCTCTTTGAGACGTGACTCACATAACCTTTCACAAGGTTTACACAATCCTCGTTACTCATGTTTGACATGTGTTGCATGCACACGTCAAGTATCAACATGACAACACAACACACACCCACCCAAAAGCCACGTAAAGTCAATCATATCAGAACCTCTTTCCCAACATATATATACAATTCTCATATACTGGATATATGCTACAAAGCATGTCATTCACTTATTGACAGGCCCAAAGTCATCGACTTAGAATAACAAGATCACCCATGGCCTCACTCTATGTTTGGTTAAGCTTACAAGAGACTCGACTTCAATTCTCTCGTTAAAGTCTTCCATAAAGACAGACCTTGGGTGAACAGCAATCCCCCCATAAGGGACTGAGTCTTACCTAGAGGAATCTAACTCTTCCTAGGGAGCCTACACTCCCTCGTACAACTTGGACTCAAATGGGCCTTCTGTGATTGACTCTCCCAGATTGGACCTTCGAGATTGGACACTTGGACAATCACAAGCTCCAATTTATAGGCGCAGAAACCCTCTATGTAAATTCCCACTGAGATTAGTGAGAATCATGGAGCCACTACTCCACGTGATAGTTGATGATATTCAAGGAATGACTACCCACTAAGGTAGTTATGGAAACTTCTCAGAATAACCATTCATTAACCATGAATGTCTCTCCACATGGTTGAAAACTCTAGAACATTCCAGAGTCTTCCACGACACTGTGACATTGACTTATGTAGGGTCCATTGAACCTTGTCACCTCAAGATTGAGGTCCAAATAAATAACATCATGAAGCTCATAGTCATCCTCCAAATCAGATGTTAGAAGCTTAAAGATGAAAAGGAAATCAACTTCGAAGATGATTGGCTCAAGACCCATTTCATCAGCAAGACAAACATCTTCCCTCATAGCCAAACCTTCAGCAAAATCCGAATCAAACGCAAATGGGAATTTGTTAATAGAGGTAAGTATCACTTCTCCTTTCTTATTTATGATGATAAACCTCACTCTTGCGTGCTAATTAAATATTAAATGGAATTTTGATCGATCAACTTTTAAATTTATTTTAATACAACCTTTAATTTTAAACTATTAAATATTAAATGTAATTTTGATCGATCAACTTTTAAATTTATTTTAATACAACCTTTAATTTTAAACTATTAAATATTAAATGTAATTTTGATCAATCAATTTTAAATTTATTTTAATACAACCCTTTAATTTTAAACTATAATTAAAAAAGAAGTAGTTATTTTGGAGGTACGATATAGCTCTAATAAATACTCATATACGTGGGAGTGGAGAATCAACTTCACAACCGAGATATATGTCAATTACCATTAAACTATGTTCGATTTGACTAATAAATGCTCATGTTATATAAAAAAAAAGTTTGAACTTTCTGGAAAAATCAATAATTAAAAAAGAAAAAGAGAGAGAAAGAGATTTTTTATAAAACATTGCATTAATTACAGATCTAGAAGCATTAATTAAATTTATTCTCTTTGAAGATTGAAAATATTATATAATTTTAGAAAAAACGTCAACCTTCAAATTTCAAAGAAGCTTACAAGTCATAACAGTAGCAGAGAGAAGACAAAAGAAAGAGGAGTTGAAAGGCGGCCCGATTCTCGCCGTCGCCGGTCAGCTTCTCCGAATGCCGACGCAATTCACGGCTCTCAGTTCCTTTTCCTCCGTGTGGTGAGTTTTCTTTTCCCGCCGGTAACTTTCTGATGAATCTCATATGCACAGACGCGCGATTAGGAAGAATCAGGTTTAATTATTCATCAATATCGACGCAATTTGACTTCACAGTTGCTCTGTTTCTTGATTTGGTTTCGTTTTCGCCATTCTTTGCTTGTCGATCCAGTGGAGACCTCTTTTTTTGTCGTTCTAGTTGTTTTTCAATCGATGAAAGTATTTTGATCTGATGGCTCTGTTTTTGTTCTTTGTTTTGCTTAATTTTCATCTTGCTGTAAAACGGAGTTGGAACTTTCCGGAGCAATTTCAGGAAAGACAGTGTAATCAATCCATCGTCACATTTCTCTTTTACTTGAAATTTCCCGTCCCTACTACTCTGTCAAATTTGAATTTCTTCAAATTTTCCAAGGCATTAGAAACGGAGCAGGACCGGTCAGGCTTTGTTAGGGTTTTCTCCACATAGATTCAGTCCTTTTTGCCTGATTAATTCGTTAGTTTTGTTCTTTGTCCTGCTTAATTTTCATCTTGCTGCCTATCTGATGAAACGGAGTTGGAACTTTCGAAAACAATTTCTGGATCCCTACTACTTTATTAAGTTTGAATTCCGTCAAATTTTCCAAGGCATAAAAAATGGAGCAGGATCAGTCAGGCTCTGTTAGGGTTTTTTTCTCCACATAAACTCAATCCTTTTTACCTAGCTAATTCGTTGTTCTTACTTGATGTTGAAGGAATCCAACTCCAAAATTTTCAGTAACGCGGCACTATGTTCATACATCAACTCTCAATTGTGCTCACTCTTCATCAATCCACCACTGCAATCGGAGCGAAAAACTCGGGCTCTATGATTGTTCAAGATCTAGGGTTTCCAGTTCAGTGAAATTGAGGGTTGAATCAGGAAGAATAAGGAGAGGGCAGGAGACCAGATGTGTTGCTGTGGCAGAAGAAGAAACCGATTGTGTAGTTGAAGTTGATGATGAGGTTTATATGAGGAGATCATTGGAGATTGCAAGGAAGGCAATTGGGCATACAAGCCCTAATCCAATGGTGGGATGTGTCATTGTTAAAGATGGGAAGATTGTTGGTGAAGGGTTTCATCCCAAAGCAGGACAGCCTCACGCTGAGGTAACCCTCTAATCCAATCACATTTTTCTTCCCCCATCTTTACTCTTTCAACGGTTGATGTGTTTTGTTTCTATAGGCCCTTTGATAAAGTTTTTTGTTCTTTTATTTCTGTTTATAGTTTTTAAAAATGTATTTTAACTCTTTTTTTTTTCAATTGTTTTTTGAATAAATTAGGTGGGAGAGATTCAAACTTGATCGATCGTAGAAACATCTGTCAATTAGTAAATTCACATTGGCTTAAAAAATTAAATATTGAAAAGAAACATGACTAGAGAGAGAGTATAGAGAGAAAAAAAGAAAAGTTTTGAGGGAGAATGTAAAAATTAGGAGAGAGGAAAAGGAAAAGTTTTGTTGGGAGAAAAGTTGGAGAGAGGAGAAAGAAAAGTTTTAGAGCGAGGATGTAAAAAGAGGTAAAGAAAATTAGAAAATGTATGTATATAATTTTTATCCAAAATTTTCAATTTTATTAAATTGGACCTTAGAAAGTTGGGTGAATGCAATTCTCAACTTAAACTTGAATATTTATGGCCATTTTTACCTTGCAGTAGACTTTTGTGTGAAGAATCATTAAAAAATATTATATATAAAAAAAACATGTTTGGTAGGAAATTGATGGGACTTCAAAGAAAGAGAACGCTGGAGCTAATTTTTTGTTAAGTTTTGTGTGTTTTTAAATAAATATTCTCTAGTTGATCTTGTGCATTGATTAGGCAACTTAACTTTGGGTAAAGTTTGATTTTTATTGAAATTAGTGTTTTTAAAAATTTTACCTGGTTGTTTGTGAAAATTAATGAGTTAATGGAGTGGAAGTAAAAATTTTATTAATGGTCTAAATTCAGAGTTTAATTTGATGTAATTGAAAGTTGAAGTTAAAATTACCGAATTCGAGGTTAAATTGATTTTTTTTCTCTTGAAAAATTAATAGAAAAGGAAGGAAAGTTTATTTTCACCTCTCAAATGATGGGCAAGGCAATTTTAACTTAAATTTTCAATTTCATCTTTTTTAACCATAAATTTTAATTAATATTCGAATTTATACCTCCTGAATACTAAAATTGATAAAATTGCCCATGAACAGAGCTATAAATCATATAAAATTCAAGTATCTAAAAACTCAAAACCATGTCAAAGAAACTCAATCACAAAGATAGTCTAAACTTGGTCACAAATCAAGCAAATAAAAAGCATCGGAACTTATCAGTTATGAACAAAATACTTAAATCCCACGGTAAGGGTGCCTAAAACTAAAACAAACGATACTTATGAAAAATAGCTACACGCTGATAACTGGTCACAAATCTTTAAAATAATAATAATAATAATAATAATAATAATAAAGAGTTTAAATTGTAGCACTTATTAAATTTTCTAAGTTTAGGGTTTAATTTATAAAATTGAAAGCTTAAAAGGTTCAACTTGACTCGTCGCATCAGCCTGAAAAAGCATTAGAAAGAGAAAAATTGAGAGGAGGACATAAAATTTTAGAGTTTGATGTTAAAAGAAAACCTAGCTAATTTTCTTTTTTCTTAATTACAGTGTGCTAAATTTAAAAGGCTGAGTTAGACCAACTGTTTCTCAAAAATGAAAAACTAAAAATATAAAACGAAATGGTTGCCTTAGCCATCTGCTTTGTGATTAAAAATGCTGCTGATTTTTTAAGCGAAAGATGAAATGAACAGGTGTTTGCTCTGCGAGAGGCTGGGGATTTGGCTGAGAATGCGACAGCATATGTTACTTTGGAGCCATGCAATCACTATGGCAGAACTCCGCCGTGCACGGAGGCTCTAATAAAAGCCAAAGTGAAAAGGGTGGTGGTTGGAATGGTGGATCCGAATCCAATTGTTGCTTCCAAAGGCATTCAACGACTAACAGAGGCAGGAATCAATGTCACTGTGAGTGTGGAAGAAGATTCCTGCAAGAAGCTTAATGAAGCCTATATTCATCAAATCTTGACGGGAAATCCTCTTCTTACTCTAAGGTAAGGTAACTTCCATTCTCCTAGGAAAAGACTGCAGTTGTGTTTTGGAGTGCTTAGTAACAAATGAATTTGGTGTTTCGTTTTATATTCTTAAAAGTAATTTCAAGTGTTTTCTAACAAGTATCTTTGCAAAAGCACTCTACAAATTTGGGTGGGAAATGCTTTTAGTCGTAGAAGCTTCCAAGGGGCAGCCCAATTGGTAAGGATTTGGATCTCTTGGTCATACTGGTTTAGAGTGGCAAGTTCAAATTTTCTGATGACCTTAATACCAAAAATCTTTGATGTCTCTTAGGTTTGGGATTTGGGATTGGTGCGGGTGCCCTTGGGTATAGGGGAGCGAAGCTCTGACCCCCTGTTCTAAAAAAATGGCTTTTAGCGTAAAAAAATTACTTTTAACCATGCTAACAACGCTCCCAAATATAGCCAGGTGTCACTTGAAGTTTCTATACTACTAATACACAGCCACACCTGACTGTCCACAGGTACTCCCTCTCTCTAAACGGTTGCTTTCTAGATCAAGTTGGGGAAGGAGCTGCAGACGCTGGTGGCTACTATTCACAACTATTGCAAGAATATAATGCCGTTCTAATTGCTCCCACCTCATCATCTGAGGAGTTGGAAATTCCTGCATCCAAGGAACCTGGAGCCAAGCAACCCCTTTGGATCATTGTACCGAGTCCCGACGGTTCGATCAACGTTCCTCACATAACCGATGCAGCCATGAAAGTAATAGTCTTGACAGACAAAGAAGTGGCTGAGACCGAGGCCGAGAGGGGGATCGAAACGGTAGTCTTGGATCGGTTAAGTTTGGGCAACATTCTAGATTACTGCAAGAGCCAAGGATTGAACAGTGTTGTGTGGGACATGAGAGCAAACTTGGGAGTTGATGAAGAACTTGTGAAGGAGGGTATTGAGAAGAAATTGTTGCAAAAAGTTGTGGTGGAAGTGTTGCCACAATGGAATGAGAGGCAGAGTGGGAGTTCTCAGGCGTTGTTTAAGAGTATGGCTGAAAGTCTGAAGTTGAAGAATTTGCAGCCCAAGATGTGTGGGCAGAGCGTTGTATTGGAAGGGAATCTCTAATATTAATTTTCTTTTCACGTGTTTGTGAGTGATTTTAGCTATCTAAAATCACTAACGTATCATTGTAAAACGTCACAACATTTTTAAAAGTGATTTGGGCACGACTAAAATCACTTTTATCATTGCCAAAATACTTCATTTTAGAATAATTATGTTTTTACAATGATATACAAGTGATTTTAAAAAATGACAAAAGTAATTTTTACTCTGTGAAAATCACTTTCAAACACGTCGAAATTTGTTGCTACCTTCTATGGGTGGCAGGGAGTTGTGTTTGGGACTAATTTTAGAAGAATCGAAAAAGAAAAAGATGGACCATGTTTCCTACTTTTCGTTTTTTCTTTTTAAATAGAAATCCAAAAACCATCTATTTTAAACTTTCAAATCTTATGATATTAATAATCCAAATATTCTCTCTCTTCTACGTGGGAAGGAGGAGGGAGATCGAGGCTTAGTTTCGAATTGGTGTGACTTTTTAAATAATTGTTGGCGTGTGTTTTTAGAAAAAATAAGTTGTAGCATACTGTAAATTAGTGTTTGATACCTTTCAATTTTAAATATGAAAAGGTAGGTTATAGTATTTTGTAAATTGATACAAAATTGTGGTAATTTAGCTATGATGACTAGAATTTAAAATTTTGATATGAAGTTTAGAGATTAATCCACTTAAGATTTAAAAACTCTTCAGAATATCAATCTAAAAGTTTAATGCAAAATCAAATTTAGATTTCAGGATCTTGGCGTAATTTCAAATTTGATATTTATGATTTGGGTTTAGTTTCAAATTGGATCCTACAGTTTTTAAAAAGTTATAATTTACTCAAATTTAACAAATCGTTTTGTTATCATTGTGGGTGTTAATTTATGGGTGAAGTCAACATATATGTCACATATGCCTTTGTATCTAAAGTCATAATGCTTGCACATATAAATCTACACTGATATGGTGTTCTATTAAAAGGTATGAAAAATAAAGAATAAGGAGGCATTAATCTTGAGGATGAAAGTCTCGTTGAGATGTGTGTCGAATTCTCACAAAGAGTTGTGTATGAAAAATGAAGCTTACTTTGGTTAGGATTCCTGAGGCGTCCACATGAGAGCGGTATGACGTGCCAAAGGTCCAAGAGGCCACTGACATCCTCTGCTTCTCACTATCTTGCAAATAGGAGGCACGACAACGTCTTGAGTGTCTCCTGAGGCATATCATGGCTTGGGTATAGAATGACAACACCACGCCTGCTGTACTGGGTGTTCAAGAGCACTGGATCCCATTCTCAATGTGCTCAACTCCATTCTCGATGTGCTAGAATCTCCTTCGATGTGCTCGGTCCTGCCAGGTTGGTTTCCTAACCATACTCATGTAGCTTAATTAACTCTTTGACGTGTGGCACTCCCTAATAGTATTGGTTGACTACTGTACTTGAATTAAATTCATGGTTGAGTAAAAAATAGAATGAAATCACCTAAAAATGAAAAAACAAAACAAATAAGTTTGAATTGGTAAAACATAATTTAGAGATAGCTTTGTAAGTTTAACTAAGCTAGAAGGATCAAAAATTGAAACTTAGTTAAAGTAAAATGAAATCAAGTTAAAATTTTCAAAACCATAAAATTAAATTTGCAACTCAGTCCAAATTATAGGGGATAAATTGAAATCCCTACAATTGTATGTACCAAATATGCAACGTAACATGAAATTTATTAATTTTCTAGATTTAGAAGGTAAAATCATACACTCATTCGGACACTTTTTTCCGATTTCCATTTTTCCTCCTCCTCCTCCTCCTCGTCCTTCTTCCCGCTGAAGCTGAACCCTTCATCGGGATTCGATACCGAGGATCAGAGCTGCAGAGGTTTGGTCTTGCATGGAGGAAATCAAACCAGCACCATCAGTTCCTCCTCAAACCACAGCTCCATCTCCACCTACTCAGCCATTGCCTCCTCTTCCTCCCAAATCCAAGAAGAGGCCACTCGACAGAAGCGTTTTTGTCCAATATTCTAAGATGCGCGCCGTTATTAAGGATCTTCGTCCTCATTTTGTCGAGGTAATCGATCCAGCTGAGTTTCCAAAACACAGCTAATTTGTCGTAATCTGTAGTAGCTGTGGACGATTTCTGGATTTTTGTTTCTGGGTTTTCTTCGAATCTGGTAGAAAAAGTTAGCGGCTCGGTTTTAAGACAAATCTTTCTTTTCCTGTTAGTGGGTTTGAGACTGAATTTTGGTGTGGTTTTTCTGCTTTTTATTGAAGGTTTTGAAGGCTCCCGACTTCCGCAACTGCAAGGCAGCTAATGAAATTCGAGAAAGTAAGTGCATTGTGATTCTCGTTTGTGCCTTTTTTCCATCTATGTTGAAGACATTCTTACTATGTTCAAAATCTGTGTTTCTATGAAACATTTTGACATTTTTTGAACTGTTTGAAATGGTTGTTGTTTGGAACTAATTTGTGAATGAGTTTTCTGTATTCTCGAACAAAAATTGAGGAAAAAACATATTTGACTGATTGTTATCTTAAAATGGTCTTCTCCTCTCCCTCTTGTTCTCACAAGTCACTAGGCAAGAAACAGCTGAAGTTGTTGTTTCGTCTAAATTCATGGATTTGTGATAATGAGTTCAAGTGAAGAAAAACCTTAAATCTTTGCGAGCCACTTGAACTAAAACAACTCATAAAAAGAGCCTTCCAAACAAAAGCGGAAAGCTATTTTCAAAACCACCCCTCCTGTTTCCAGTCCCCATCTTGTTTTCTCATAGTCATTGGTTATTTAATGGTGTTTTCATTCCATTGTTGCTTGTCTAAGTTGTTGAGATTTACCTCAAGAGCGAGTAACAAAAATCAGATTCCCATCAACAAAATCAAGTTGTTCATCTCTAAAAATTCTCTTGTTTCTTAGCAAGATGCACCAAAATGAACACTGATCATCAGATCTCAATGCACCTTTTCCTCCTTTTGTCAATGGATGACAACCAAGGGAGATTTCCAAAAAGCCTAAATTGAGGAGGGGGCGGCTAGGGAGAAACTGAAATAACTAAGCACGGAAGGCCGAATAAACAAAGGAAGACCTTTACTTTTTTTCTTCCCCTTGACATTTCTGATAGAAACTAGAAATTGGAGTAGAAATGAGTACTTGATATTCTGCGAGTTTCCTTAGCAACCAAATGTAGTCAAGTGGTTGTCCTGTGAGATTAGTCGAAGTACATACAAGCTAGCCTAGATATTCACCGATGTACTAAAAAAAGTTGAAAATTAATCGGGAACGCTGTTGATGTAATAAAGGAAAATTACAAAGTTCCAAGATTTTTGATAGGCAGGGTACTCTTCTGCTGCTACACTTCAAAATTTGCCTCCCCCCAAATCCCTCCGACAAATGCATTAGCTAATGACTAATATGTGCCTATATCCTTATATTCACCTACTGATATTCATGAATTACTTTGCTCCAGAACTCACCCTGTCCTCAAGATGTGGTTTACCAACCGATTCTCCCGAAACAAATTAAAAAATTGTAGATGGAGTATTAAACTGCACAACCTCATTGAAGAATAAATGCAAAATAACCTTAGAGACAAAAGACGCTCAACATGAAAATTCCAGTAGCCAACCCCATTGCTTTCCATTCGTTTTCTCCTCTATTTGCTGGAATTGTTGGAGGACCCATTCCAACCAAACTGCCCAACCCCTCTAGCACCAATAATGAAACTCCTCTCTTCGAAATAGTTACCTTCAGCTCTTGGCTTTTGAGCCAAGCCCTTGCCCTACTCCAGCCCTCTCCATCGACTTGTTTTCTGTAGAAGTTAGATGATTGCGTAATGTTTTTTTTTTGTGAAAGAAACAATTTCATTGATATATGAAATTACAAGGAGCCCATATAAGGGAGTACAAAAGCCCATAGATGGGTTACAAAAGGCA